TTGTCCTCGAGCCGGGCCGAAGAACTATGTGGGAGATGCACAACGTCCATCTAACGATACGCCAACTCCTGTGCGATCGAAAAGGAGTGTCTTTCATCGAAACTTAGAGGGAGATTTACGGCGTGAACTCCGCGAGCTGAGCAATGCCGACGCACAGCGACTAACCTGGCTGGCAGTGGGTGTGGTGACGACGAGGCAAGCGCACTTGGAGGAAGTTCAAATCGAAAGCAAAGATATTTCGAAGGCCTGCGAAGTGAATACGATGGAAGGAGTTGACTTTATGTTGAATGTGTTTCTCGGTGACAACAAGGATGGATCCCGTCCAGGTCCTGTCTTCGATGAATCAGCGCTCCGCGTGAAATTCGAACGGATGGGAAACCCTCTCCTTCGAACCTACTCTGTACGGGATCGATTCAAGCGGCATCGTTACTCTTTAGAGGGAAGTCTTTTCATACTGATGACCACTTTTGCTGAAAGACTATTTCCTTGATAGTCTTTATAGCAGAGATGTACACTTCGTGGAAAGATTTCTCATTTCTCATAGCAATAGTGATCACATGTGGTCCGTATGCCATACGGCAATGCGTTATCCAAATATGAGAGTGAAACATGGAGGGATACCATCATGAACGATTCTCTTCCTGTTGATGTATAGCATTAGATCAGGACCGGAGTTATAGATATACTCTCCGAGTAAAAGTTGGTATTTTGAGGCGCAATTTTAACACGTGCATGCTAAGAATATGTGGAGAAAACGTTTTACCGGTCTTCGACTTCTCACTAACCACGAAAAGTTAGGCCCTGAAACTTGGGGGTCATATCAGGTAAAGCACAATTACATACCTCCCTGTGCCGCAAGATGACACTCGTTGTGGTGGCTGTGCACGAGTCCAAAAGCCGGATATGCTAGGAATATGTGGAGGGGTGTAGTAAGAAAGGAATTAAATAGCTTACGCCGTTGAGTCAAGAATCCTAACTGATCCACACTGACTGGCCGATTGCTTATGCGGTAGCTGAATCAGCACCGAAAAGGTAAACGTCTTTGTAGTAGCGTGGGGCTCGAGCACAATCCTTCCCAGGTAATCACTGACAGTAACAACTCAGGTTCGATACAAGACTCGAAGTTACTGAGCGAGAATGAAGATGATAACAGCGTTGTTCTATGGATCAAAGAGAATGGACAACTCGCAAGTTTGCCATGAACAATGCGGCATGCGAGTGCGTTTCCCGACGGACTGTATGTTAAGGACAGCCTCAACATAAAGACCTCTGCAAAAGCCAGAATAATAACGCTGTTTCTTAAATAATAGCGCTCGTATACGACGACATAGGCTGAGCAAGGCTCGTAACATTAGAGGTCGCACGCCTTGAGGACAATATCCGGAGGAGTAGGATATGAAGGGTCGAAACCAGGTATCCATGAACCATGGTGTATGGTCAAAGTATCACGGAATAGATCCAAGGTCATGGCCTTTCCCGTCATCCACCAATCCTCTTGACCAACTTGTGTGCGATTGTCCATAAGAGAGAGTAAAACATCCAACCCTTTCTCCTCTCTTTTCAATACCGAGATATTGAAGGGATAGTTCACTGTGTCCGCTACCGATTGGAATTCCTTCACGGGGATGGCATCATTGTAGACGACCATGTGCGTAGCATCAGAGCGAAGGGCCACACTTAAGCCCTTGCTGTGAGCAAATTGGCAAAAATGATGATTCACCGGCTGAAGACACGCGCCAAAGGTCAAGCGTATCTCAGGCTCACCGTTCATCACAATCTCTGATTGGCCGTGGCTGCGGGGTAAGTACAACATACGGGTCAAGGTTTTGACGCCCAGACCCATGGAGGTAGCGAATGCCTTAACTCGATAGGTTTCCGGTAGCCGTAAGTCCAGCATATCTGGTGATTCAACCGGTGACGATAAATACCTCAGTTGGTTATCTTCAAATGCTGCGAGGGTATTGTTCTCCGTTAGTCCATAAAATTTAAAATTACCGAAGGTCCACCTATATTGCCACTTGTATCTGGTCGGTCTGAACGTCATAATAAGCTTGGACGGAGCATCCTTCTCAGCACAGTACATACCGCGAGGCCCCTCATAGGCCGCTGACAGCCATGGGAAAGTTGCAAACAAGAAAATTACAACGATATAGGTAGATGGGAGAGCCATGCAAGGTGGAACGAAGCTGTGAAAACAGTACACCCTCAACATCATTAGATACGGGGAACCAGTACGGCTACACTGAAGTACTCAATGACTTAAACTAAGCACTAGATCTAGAATATATTGATCACTGCGACCCAATCATCAAGTGATTCGTGCCACTGTTTCGCATGCAGTGAAGCTGTTGCTTGGTCGTGATTCAAAGTCGATAACACGAGTCTTAATCTCTTCGGAGGGATGGATGATTAGCTATTCACATGCAATCGCGCACGATGGGTGGGAGCAGTAACACTTTTCCCTCTTGTTACGTCCTCGTGGTCGAGCCATTCACCCACGGTGAGAAACCCAATACTTGCATCTGCGCTTGATGATGAGTTTGTCATCAGAAGATGTTTTTAGCTTGCCATCAAAGTCCAATCACATGCTGATGTTACTAAAGGAAAAGGTCTCCCCGGAGCCTCCCTCATCCCGGAGCCCTCCTGCTCTACTAGTATCGATCAACTCGCGTACTTCACGTAAAGCGCTACCGATGAACAAGATTCCGCACAACCTTGTGCGGCATGAACTAGCCACAGACCGTACACGTATAGATCGACTATAAAAGGCTAAGCAAAGTCAGGACAGACAAGAATTCTGTCATAGAATCACCGTTGGAGGCGACTGCTCGGATCGTCGTAGTGGTACCTCCACGCGCGACACTCTGAATCAACGTTGGTTATCTATTGATGATGAAAAGTAGTACCATGAACTTGATTGTATATTGAACAAAGTATCGGCGACGCCAATACTGACTCCGATTTGACTCGAACACCACGCCCTGCATGGCATGCACCGGCTGCAATGATTGCGGCCTGCCATCCTAGGGTTTTTTCGGGCCAATCCGGCTCTGGCGAACCGGCAAGTGGAACCTCATATTTGACTTTCAGGGACCACTTCTCCTGCGCATCAATTCCGTTCTTGACTGGAGTCTATGTCTGCATTGGGAGCATACGTCGAGCCTACGAGTTGACCAAGCTGATGCCGAAAGGTCCTGTGGTCTCCTGGCTTATTCGTCTGAGGTTGGAAGAGTTGGTTCGTGATCATCTGCCTGAGTTCTCAATCGTTCACTCTTTGTCACCGTTTCTTTTCTGCCTATTCCTGAGTCTATCGCTACTTGTGCCAGATGAATCACAGCAGAGAAGTGTTGTGGTAGCGAGAGAGACGAGGTCCTGTCTGATCCCTCTATTTTCCCCTGCGCGGTCGTCTGCCGTCTTTGAGGGACCGTACCTTCTTCAGGAGAAATCCTGTGATTTGGACGACGCTGCTCCTCGTTAGCTGTCGACTGGGGCCTCGATGGGTGTCGAGTCGCCCATCCCACACTGCTTATCTTCCCGCGACTCGGGTATCAATGTCTGGAGGGTAATCTTCCGCGCTCATGCGGTGTCGAATCGACACTGCCGGGTAATGGCACAGGCGGCCAGATTCACCCAGTTACTTTTCTCTGTCTACACTTGGACCTCAGCGTCTTCATGGATGGTCCTCTCTACGGTGCGGGGCGGCTACGTCATAGAGCGTCGTATCACGACGGTTGTATGCTGACAGCATAAGGCTGGCATTAGTTGCCTAGTGTTCTGGCCAGCTACTGGTATAGCCTTTGCATACCAAGAGACCAGCTTGGCCAGAAGTAGCGGTGGGTAAGCTTCCGACTGCGGACTTCGGCTACCGGTCGCCGTCCCAGGAAGTGAGCTGGCTGACGCTATACAGCTCATCCAAAGAGCCCTCTCATGTGGCCCACGGTGCTCCTGTTTGCTGCTTTGTGAGGGATGTAGCAATGCGGCCAAATGAGACAAGCGACTCCACTCATATCTTCGCTGTTGTTCTCCGTGCGGTCAGCCCTCGCTCGGGCAGAGTCGGGAAGGATTTCTGTGCAACCCATCCGTACGTGCTTAAGATCTTGGCTTCTCTCTCGTGTATGCGGCTGCTGGATGGTATCCAGTGGATACCCGGGAAGGATCTCATTCTTCGGACCTCGTCGTGTCCCCTGCGAGCCGGGACTATTGCGGGCTAGAGCACAACCCTTCCCAGTGACAACTCCGGTTCGATACAAGACTCGGAGTTACTCGTTGGAAATGAAGATGATAATACCGTTGTTATATCAAAGAGTGATCAAAGAGTCCGAAGGAGAATGGGCAAGTCGTAAGACTTGCTATGAAGGTTCACGGCATGAACATGAGTCATGCGGATACATAGCCAGGCTATGATAGCCTGATCAACTGTATATCAAGAGCACAGCAGGCTCAACGTAGAGACCTCCCTTAAAGCCAGACTCGTAACAAGTATCTTGAATAATAACGCTCGTATACGGCGACATAGGTTGAGCAAGGCTAACATCAGAAGTCGCACGCCTTGAGGACAATATCAGGTGGGGTATGACGGGTCGAAACCATATATCCATGAACCATGGTGTATGGTCAAAGTATCAGGAATAGATCCAAGGTCATGGCCTTTCCCGTCATCCACCAATCCTCTTGACCAACTTGTGTGCGATTGTCCATAAGAGAGAGTAAAACATCCAACTCCTTCTCCCCTCTCTTCAATACCAAAATATTGAAGGGATAGTTTACCATGTCCGCTACCGATTGGAATTCCTTCACGGGGATGCCATCAGTGTAGACGACCAGCGTAGCATCAGCGCGAAGGGCCACACTTAAGCCCTTGCCGTGAGCAAATTGGCAAAAATGATGATTCACAGGCTGGAGACACGCGCCATAGGTCAAGCGTATGTCGAACGCACCGCTCATCACAACCTCTGATTTGCCACTGTCGCGGGGGAAGTACGACATTAGGGTCAAGGCGTTGTCTTCCAGACTCATGGAACTTTCATGATGGAAGAAACAAACTTCCTCACTTGCTTGTTATACTGTAGCCGCAAGCTCAGACTTGCTGGTGATTTATCCGGAATGTTGAATACTCTATTTGGTTATATCTGATAGCTACGATGGTGTTGTTGAACCTCTCTGTTAGCCGGGACGAATCTCCAAGCCCAACAAGGATGAACTGCTGCTCAGGGTCTCACTCGCGCGATCGGAACATATAAGGTCGGTCAAAGCGAACATCCGCTTCTAACATCGAGTGAACCCTACCAAGATGGAATTCGCAACATCATTCTTGCTATTAGCCGCCCGATCGACCTTCCACGCACAAGCCATCTGTGATATATAACTTATCACAGATGGCTCGTGGTCATTACTGATAACCATCAGGTCCTCCTCGTGGGCGGCTCGGGTTTCACCGCTTATGCCAGGCAGCTGGTCGCGGTCGATCTAGTAGCGCTTCTCCCGCTTGTATCCCCAGTTATCACGAGGTGATTCAGGTAGTTTCTCACTAATGCTTATGATCACGGGTTGGTGCATTGAATCAATACGGCAGCCCGTCATCACCACTGGCGCCATATCGACGCCGCATCTTCAAGTTTCGTGGGTGTCGGACAAGTCGGTATATCACCAACCCTGGTATTCGGACATATCATTCATGAGGACCACGGTCCAATCCCAAAAGCAGCATTCGCCTCGAATCAGTAGTGTTATGTCGGCAACATTCATACCGTGCTCATTTATGGGTCTCGCATTACTCCTCTAGCGTGACCTCAACTAGTGATCAAGCCGCTCGCAGGGGCGACGATAAAGTTGTATTGACGACACAATGCGGTCACGAATATCACTGCAAGTGTCCAGTGCGTTGCAGCAGACGTTACTCATCGCTATTGACCTCTGCTTAAGCAATCTCAATCGTTCAGTAGTGTATCAGTTCATAATAAACTGTCCGACCTTTTGCTCACACTCCTCTTTGGTGATAGTATCGATCACTGACTCACTTCACTAGACCAGCACTGTAATGCTGCTTAGTAGAAACCCTACTGTAGGATTCATCTGACATGCTTGGATGGATCAAGTTCATATTTATTGATATTGGTCACACCTCGACATCAGGTTAACTGTATGTACACAACAAGACTAACGCGACGAAATGATTCCCCTTACTTGTCGTCAAAAAGTTCGTCTCCCGGATATCAGTAGTACTACCAGATATCGCAAAGAGAGAGGCCAAAATGAGTCATCAAGACTCGTTCTCACCTAGATGAGACAGACCGACAAAAAGTTAACATCGTAGCGATGACGACGAAGACTATAAAAGCTCGCTACGACGACGGGAGAGTAGCGTTGGTAGGCATGTACATGGACCTTATTGGTGGGTTCCATATAGTGTTGGTTGTAGATGTACCATGTAGTAGCAGTATGACCTCTTGCCCACCCAACATTTTCACTACACACTCGTTGATCTTTGTTTGTGTCTCATTTCTTACTTGTATGACTACCATGTTGTTGACATAAGAATAACCATGAGCTACCAAACTTGTACCATTCAGTGCCACCGATACCCCCAATTGTGTACCTTCGCAGAAGAGATCACCTGTAATATTGCCGACATTGGGAATGCTGATGACAGTTGGATTCGGTACTTGAACAGAGGAGTACCCAAACTGCGCATTGATAACACCAGGGACATCATCCCAGTACTTCTTCTTCAACTCAGGACTAGGCTGGAAAATTTGTAATGGACTGATAGTTCTCCCCATGACGTTAGTGAAGTTATTGAAACCATTCATAGTCACCGCTTTGTCAAAATTAAGACCTTTGAATGTTATACCAAGACCCTTGACGTCCATTTTTGCCTTCATATTCATTTTTATCTCATCCTTCAACATAATATCCTCGCCGAAGGTATCAAAGACCGCCCTGTCAGTTATGAATAGTGTGCCCTTATTAGTGAACCGCGAAGTGGAATGACCTGCTACATCCATCTCTGGTAGCTGGACATAACCCATCTCTCGCCCATCAAGGAAAATAGTATTACGTGCCGGCAGAATGGTGGACGACATACTCTTACTAGCGACGCTTATCTCCATGGTGCTGTCAAGACATAGCTGAGCCGTGACTTCAGGCCCGCACCCCACAGGGTCACCAATGGTCAGACCATCTATAGTGACGATAGAGGAATTCAGACCACTCTGAGCGATAGCTTTACCACCAACAAATAGTACTAATAGTACAGCCACGATTATCAATACCATGATTATGGCAATGATTACCCACATCCATATGAACTGCTTGCGACTTAGTTTACCACAGCAATAACGTTTGGGTGCTGTATCAATAACACCACCAGCAACAAGTTTGTCATCACTCCCAAAGCCGGCCTCTAGCTCTGGAGGGGGCGCCTCTCCAGCCCCCGGTATACCACTGCCATTCGTCTCGTTGTTCTTATCAGTCATGTGATTAACGAACTATGTCGAGGAAAAAGTGACGCGAACGGGAAACAGAAAAAGATAACATCTCGCTGCGCCAATACGATCGATTTTCGCACTGCACAAAAATAGGGCGTCACGTCACGTGACTCACCTGGTGGAGCGTCTTCTCGATCAAACTAATCACCACTGTTAGACAACCCAACACTGGCATTGGCGCTAGATGATGAGTTAGTCATCAGAAGATGTTTACAACGTGCTATCCGATGCTACCAAAAGAAGAAATTCTTAGACCTCTCCCTCATTGCGAGCCCTCCTGCTCTACCAACTCGCGTAACTCACGTAAAACGCGACGAATGAACAAGATTCCACACAACCAGCTTATACGGCGTTAATTGCCTAAGTTGACTCCCAACTAAAGCTTAACCAAGGCGCAGAAAAGCATTTGTATATGCGTGCAACTGTGTAAGGGCATAGCTAACGGCTTGAAGGCACAAATAACTTCAAGAGTGCAAGGATAACCATTCTCAGTTACTTACATTAAAGAGATGAGTGGGAATGCTAGGGTCACAATGGTGCACACAGAGTGACTAGGCTACAGAGACATAATGCTCAACTAATGCCTGATTACGGCATATAACATCGGCCTAAACATGCTACAAACCGTACACGAGTAGACCAACTACGGGGAAAATAAAGAAGTTAAGACAGACACGATCCCCGTTGGACGCGACTGCCTATATCGTCGCAGTGGTACATATCTGCTCCACGGTTCTGGTCCTACATCCTTTCCCACGGCGTGACTCACTAAATCGCTGCACGTTTACCGCCTCTGGATCGGAAGCCATGCCCCATATCCCATCGCAAGCCATAATCAAGAAACGGTTTAGTGAATTTTACGAGACGATGTGGGGAACATCCGTAATGTAAGGTACCTTGGATAGGCCAGTATTGGAACAGAACCCACCGCCCGAAATTGGAGATATTTTCTCCCCATTATCCTGAGCTTCACCCGCCCGTGTCACCATCTGGGCGAATATCGTTTCGTTCAATCGGAGATCTCATAAGGCCCGAACTATTGTCAGCATGTCATTCACTCCAGCGCTCGTCACGATGTGTGATCTGTGTCACCTCTACTGTACCCGTCGCCTTGTGATCACTGACACTAGTCAGCCGGACTCCGGCTGCCGAAGTGCCTTTCGTCCTTGGAATGGTACGGCTCTAAGATATCCTGACTCAGGAGTCCTGAGCCGCATAGATATCCACCAGCGGTATCAGCATGGTCCATCCACCAGCGTGAACACGACAAAGGATTCTATACCCGTCAAACTCAGTGAAGCAGCGAAGACAATAGTCGCTACACAGCCTCCTTCCGAAGACTGTAGTTCATTACGCGACGACTCGTCGTTAAATCCTATATCGGCCAGGCCTCATGGGAAAGTGTACACTTCTCTCCGTCATGGTCAACTCTCTACGGCCATTGCGACATCAAAGGACTAACAACTGATGGCTCAACTGACAATGATGGAAATCAAGAGGTCTGGGCCCTTATAGCTAACAATTTTCCCTCAACTTGAGCGCAATAGTAGTCGAGTGGGAGAGAGAGTCACCTGCCGACACATGATGGTCATCATGGCATTAAAGAAAACAGCCTCCGCAGTCGTTGCGTTTCTCGCGCGCCACGAAATTCGATGATATGATAATACCTGCCAAACATACTTCGTGAGATAGATGAAGTGGGGCGGCTATGCCACGCCAAAATAAGTATTAATATACGGAACCGCAGATCGATAACGTGGAGCGGCTATGCCACGCCAAGATATGCATTAATATAAGCAACCTCAGATGCGCGCAAGATACGTGATTTATTTTCGTAGCACGCCCGAAAAGAACACCATGGCAAGATCGGGATGGCATAGCGGCCCCTCGAACAGAGATAGTCTCACTGATTCAGCGCAGTAAGATCGGGATGGCATAGCTGCCCCTGGAACAGAGATAGTCTCACTGATTCAGCGCAGTAAGATCGAAATGGCATAGCGGCCCCTCGAACAGAGATAGTCTCACTGATTCGGCGCAGTAAGATCGAAATGGCATAGCGGCCCCTCGAACAGAGATAGTCTCACTGATTCAGCGCAGTAAAATCGAAATGGCATATCGGCCCCTCGAACAGAGATAGTCTCACTGATTCAGCGTAGTAAGATCGGGATGGCATAGCTGCCCCTCGAGCAGAGATAGTCTCAATGATTCAGCGCAGTAAGATCGAAATGGCATAGCGGCCCCTCGAACAGAGATAGTCTCACTGATTCAGCGCAGTAAGATCGGGATGGCATAGCTGCCCCTCGAACAGAGATAGTCTCACTGACTCAGCGCAGTAAGATCAGGATGGCATAGCTGCCCCTCGAACAGAGATAGTCTCAATAATTCAGCGCAGTAAGATCGAAATGGCATAGCGGCCCCTCGAACAGAGATAGTCTCACTGATTCAGCGCAGTAAGATCGAAATGGCACAGCGGCCCCTCGAACAGAGATAGTCTCACTGATTCAGCGCAGTAAGATCGAAATGGCATAGCGGCCCCTCGAACAGAGATAGTCTCACTGATTCAGCGCAGTAAGATCGAAATGGCATAGCGGCCCCTCGAACAGAGATAGTCTCACTGATTCAGCGCAGTAAGATCGAAATGGCATAGCTGCCCCTCGAACAGAGATAGTCTCACTGATTCAGCGCAGTAAGATCGAAATGGCATAGCTGCCCCTCGAACAGAGATAGTCTCACTGACTCAGCGCAGTAAGATCGAAATGGCATAGCGGCCCCTCCAGGTCTCACCAGGCAAGGGGTCCCTGTTCATTGAACTCAAGAGAGCATTGCTGACGAATAAGTGACTTCCGATGGGCCCAGGAGGCGGCAGTGTCCAATCGAAGGGCGCCAGGTGACGTCGTTGAAGATCTGCTGGTATGCCTGTAGTGTACCTACAACCCCTTGGAATATCTTCTCTCCTTCCCTCTTCTACCAGTTGCTAGGGAACTCGGGGGCTGCTGCAGTCCCTTCGGAGTGATTGACCTCCTGATTAGCAGCTGCGGCCGCTAGAGTTGACTTGTCTACGGCTGTCGCCAAGTGTTGTGACATCACCAGACCACGGAGCGATGCCAGCCTACAATGCCTCTGAGCAGCAGAAACAGCTAGAGACCTTACCATAGAAAGACCGGTCAAGACGGCTCGATCAGAAGCTCACAGATATGCTATACAACTTTCTATTGTACCCTCGTACTCCGAACAAAGCCCACATGAGCCTACCACTGCCTTGTCGAGTGCTGCTGCCGCCGATACCCCCAGACTCTCCAGCTCCTCCGGTCGGACATCCCATCGTCCGATGTGACGGGAGGTATGAGTTCTATCCACATGCAATGCATGATGATGATTGTGCTCTGAGAGGAGTGGAGTTAGCTTTATTGGCTTCAATCGAGGCATCTCCGGTAGGATAGGCCACGACAGAGCTGGTGGATGTATAAACACTTTTGCCGGAGAGAAGAACGCTGTAGGGGTACCGTCCAGTAATCTGTCTAGATATATCATCTGTTGGGCATTATTCACGCTTTATTGCCAAACGCCTACGAATAAACATCGCTTCCAGAATGCTGACCATAACAGCGTCGAGACAAATTCACTACTGTGTGACGCAATTCACTTTCGTGGAGGACTATCATTGTAATATGACCACGACAGCGGTCATCAACTTTTCCATGAGAACTAATGAGAGAGGTCATTCTAGCATCGCAGTAGCAGTATGTGGGTTACAGTATCAACAACCCCGACAGACGTCCACATTCGGACTAGAGACAAGCAATAAGGAAAGAAAGCAAGTGTTCAACGGCAATGGTGTTGTCACCATCCACCGCAACGACCAAACAGCATCGATAACAGACCATTCGTATCGAATAATAAAAAGTTGAGGAGTTGATTATGATGATGATGATGATAGAATAGACGACTCATGTCCAAGTAGTGTGGAAACCATCGACTCGGCTCCTCTATTCGACTACCTATTCTACTACTACGGGTTGTCTCAGACTCCCCCATTGCGTCAAAATGTCTACTAACGACTATAGGAAAAACTATAACGACTCTGTGGTCGCACGAACGGCAAGGATGACGACTAACTCACTACAGGATATCCTGGCTTATATGTATCTTCTATCGACCCACTATAGAGGGAGCATCGACCTCCGTCATGAGCAGCAACCCATTACGAGGGCTGCTGCCACCCGCAGTACCTTCAGTTGATGATGAAGAAGAGGCTAGCCTATACCGTCGAAGACGTCTAGCAAGAGTCTCCACTTGAGCACTTGAATCCACAGGACATTCAGGTTTATCTCCTCCTCTATACTCTAAAGTCATCTCGAAAAGCAGTGAGTTCCATTCAGGACTCACACCTAAGATGCAAACCTTGCCGCCAGGTGTAACACAAGCAATACCCTCCGCACTTCTACACCATCGACTAGGCATAACGCTCGTGAATTGCTCAGACAGCCGAGTACAGTTGTCAACCAACCTGTATCCTGTAACCTCGCCATTCGCACAGGAAAACTGCAGTAGTATTTCATGACAGCCACCGAGCCAACACAAACGGCTGGAGCCATCAAGCTGAGCCACCAACGTGTGACCAACGTATACTTTTCCACCAAAACAGTGACGCATTATGGAGTGCCCAGAGTTGGTCTTGATTCTATGTA